TTAGGGGCCTTGCTCAAGGGCCCAGAGCGGGGCAAATGAGGGTGGATGCAGGTGTGGGTGCCTCACCTTTCCCACCCACATTTCGATGTTGTCTGTACCAGGAGTTAAATCAGCGATCTTCCCATCACAGGCCCACCCTCTCCAACATCCGCGCCACCACTCCCCCTACACTGCAGATACTAATGCTCTTTTTAAATTTATTTTTACCCAGATCTGAGCCTTTTTTTTTGTTAGTTTTTTTGCATGGTTGTTCAAATTATCTTTTAAACACAACCACCATCAAACTCTAGTGTAAGTATGGACCTGAAGCGACCCGCATGCGCAGAAGACATGACATCACATGCAGCATGTAGTGTTTACAGAAGTAAATATGGATTCTACACATTGTGTAGTTGTTGTGCAATCAGAGCAGATAAATTATCTGACACATTTGTTTTTTATTCAGGTTTTACATTTGATCTTGCCACTTCTGGCGAACTCCAGTGCTGAATTCCCCTTCTGTTGAGCTAGAAACAAGCCAACATCAGTATCATATGTTGGTTTCGATTCTGAATCATCCTGAGCCAATCTGAAAACGTAAATATGTGAACTTTGATTGTAGCTTAATATGCAAAATTCCTATCTTTAAACTGGATGCATATCTGCAAAACTGTCACATTCAGACTGTCCTAAAATAATCAGAGATGGGTCCAATATGAGCAATAAATAATATTCGTCTTTTACCTTTTTTCATTTTTTTCATTTACCCTTTATTTATACAGGTAGTCTTATTGAGTCATGAGAACTCATTTTCAAGAGAGACTTGTTTAGGGAGCAACTGGTGGGGGTTAAGGGCCTTGCTCAGGGGCTCAAAGTGGGGCGAATGATGGTGGAGGCAGGTGTGGGTGTTTCACCTGTTCCACCCACATTTTGATGTTGACGGTACCGGGAGTTGAAACTGCGACTTTCCGATCACAGGCCCATTTTCTAACCTCTGCGCCACCACTCCCCCAGCTGTGTGAATGTACCAGTCTTTGTTTGAAAGTCAATTTGTAGGAAAATCATCAAGTTTAATAGCCTAAATTTGTTTTTTTTTTTAAGATAATGATTTTCCAATAAGAAAACGAGTATGTAAAGGTCAACCGAATGGTCAATAATAGATTCTGAGAGGCATTCCACATTTCTCTACCTTCGTGATTTCTGTGCCAATCATGCACGGCCCACTCTGCTAAGCACCCTGCTATAAGTGTGAGTTATAATGACAGACACAGCAAGGAGTCTCTGCCTGTCAGTCGCCTACTGAGGTCTTTTCTACCCAACATAATAGCTCCATAAATCTTACTGAATAGCCATCTGAACCCAAGAAGCCATGTTGTTGTAAGGGTTGGACACTAAAAAAGCTAAATATCACAGAACTGCAGGAGCAATAATCGAGCTCAGTGAAACAAATTAACTATTTTTTGGGGGGTTCTTGTTGTGGGAGAATCACTGAGTTTTTAATCCAGCCTCTCCAATCTGAAAAACTGATTTGATTGCATAGCTGATTTTTTATTTTTTTGTAATTCTTCTTTCACATTAGATGTACTGAAGATATGATTAAAGGATTGGGCGACTGTCTAATCTAGCCTTGTCGAACTCTGTGGTGGTACAGGAACCACACGGACCTGGCTGGCCACTGATTATCTTCATAAGGGCCATGATCTGTGCCAAAGATTAGATGAGAGACGAGCCACTTAGCAAGCATGAGCTATTGGGAGCAGGGCGTTGAGCACAAAATCTCGAGTCTTTTAATGTGGAGTTGGCCAAATGGTGATCATTTATGCTGCTCCCCATCCAGTGAACTCACCGTGACCCAGCTGAGTGCATCGCCCAATGTGTCTGTCACATCCTGTGTCCCTCTGAACAGATGCAGGTATTAAAGGGGAGCCTCGAGGGAGGTTGGGAAGGTTAATGAATCTGTAGCTTTAAGCAATATGGCGCCAGATTCACCTTTCACTGAGACAAGGAGCTGCAGACCCTCGCCTAAAACAACAGATGGGTCCCGTTGCACAGAGCGCAGATGGTCGCCTGTACTGTAAGAGCTCAGAATAAGTAAAACTCTAATCCTATATGATTTTTGCTTTTAATAAACTTACCTTCTTTTGGCAAGGCTTTCTAAGAAAAGATCTTGCGCCTGTTAATTTTTAATACTTTTATTCCCCTAAGTTATGCACCATTGTGCTCAAGAGTGGTTTAAACTTGAGATGATTAATCTGAGCAGAATAGTTTCTGTTTGTCCGACTGTTGGGAAACCCTCCCAACAGCTTCCTACTCTTTCTATAAAAACTGAAAAGACTTCAAGAGTTGCATAAGGATGCGCACTAAGAACTCTGAGACCTGCTGCTGCCCGCCGCTCATCGAGCTGCAGTACTTGTCGTCCCAGCAGGCATGAGAAGGACCACCAGAGGTGGGGTTGTCTTAGGTGGGTGGATGTTTAGCCTGCAGAGACTCAGCTAGCTTCAGTTCATAGTGAATAATAACACAAAGGTTCACTGTTTGAGAGTCAGGAGGATGAACAGAGGCTATGATGTGACATGCAGAGACAGAAACGGTATTGGAGTCAGCTTTTCTGCCTTCAGATGGACGAGCAGCTGTAAATCTAAGTTTATTCTTCTCTGTGTTAACATATATATTCAGACTGATCATGTGTTTATCACCAGACGTTCAGGGGCGACTCGTTGCCTCACACTCATCGTTCTCTGTTGCTGGATTTATTAGCTGCAGTAAATATTTGAATGAGGTCACATGGGAGTCGTTGCAGTGATGCCAGAGGCGACATGTCCTTTTCTGTGTTTAAGTTCTGCATTTTATCACCTATAGCCTGGAGCTGCACAAAGATGATGTTCGGTGTTGGGCATTAGGAGGTAATGAGTTTATTTTCACATAAATTGTTGTTGGCTCAACTACGATCATGCTATGTTTTGTATGGTAGTGAATTTCCGAGAGACAGCTTTCTGGTTTATTCTGAAAACCTGGTCAAATATTTTAGCAGTATGACTGTTTGAACCGCAGGATGGATAGTGAGGGAGCGAGCAGCGTGTCTCTAAGAAAAATGGGAGGAGAGCCTCTTGACCAGACATGGGCTGACTCTTGTTCCTGTTTTTCGGTTCTCAAAATGGCAGACGCTCTGTGTGGTTTGAGCTCTTTAGCATAGCATTTGTTGCACAAAGCTTTTAATAAAAAAATCACTAAACAAGTTCTCAGCTTCTTTTTGCAGAGAAAAACAACTTTTTTAGACGAAGGCATGGGTTTCAAATGTGAATTTTGGAACTTCGACAAGTCTGAGGTTTTTTTCCCCGAAGTCAGCCTGTTAGCTTAGCTCGTAGCTTAGCTTCTCAGCTAAGCTGCTTTTAACGATTGAAAAACGTGATTTTTGGACGGTTGAAATTGATTTTAAAGAGAAAAGTGAAATGGAGGGGTCAGTGAAGACACCGGAGTTGAGCCTTTTGTCATCCAGTGTCTTCAGTAGAAAGAGACACGAAGAAACGATAAAGCCGATAAATGAAAATGAGGTTGATAATTTTAATTCATCATGTGATTCATTGATTTATTGTTTATCGCAACAGGCCTATCTGTACATTGACTGATCAAAAGCAAAAACACAGTAGTGGTAGCATCCTATTAAAAAATACATATTTTGAACTTGAAAGGAAAAATTACTTGAAAATATTGGAGATATGTAGGATGTGGCAGAACTGGTTATTTTCAGAGAGTCTCTTGAAATGTGTGACAACTTCGTCAAATATACAATATATTGCTATCATTGTTTTGGATAGGCAAGCACCAACTAATTGGTCTTTAACCAGAATCATATGGTTCAGTTTGATTGAACAAATCCTCTGAATCACCCATTAATCAAAGTTAAAATCAGTAGCTCTGCTGATCCTGTACAGGTGTAGTCCTGTACACTGACGGCTTCCACCTTTTCATCACTGGAGGAATAACAAGTTTGTGTGTGAAACCAGCTGAGAGATACGTTTAATCTGCAAAGTCCAACACTGATAAAAGACCAGAAGTGTCTACTCTCTTTTGTTGTCAAGTTGAGCTGAAATACAGTTCTCGTTAACTTTAAACGTACAAAGAAGCTGTGACTGGGGACCTACTGGATGCCTCTAATTCCCCCCTGGGGTTAATAAAGTATTTATTTATATGCATACTGTTAATTGCCAGTACTAATTGGAGGGAACTGAATCAATAAAAATGTTTCCTCAGGTGTTTGTGGAGATGAGCTGAAAGAGTGGATATTGACACTAAAAGCAGGACTTTTGTGCAGATACTGTATATCAGAGACATGGGACTGTTTTCTTAGTAGTTTGTTCTATATTTAGAAGTTCACTGATGTTTTATGTGTGTGCATGTGTTTCCTTAAATGGGGAATTCTAGTTTGAGGTTTGACAAGAGTTTTTGGTATGTTTTGTTAAAGTTGTTAAAGCCTACAGAGAATGGTACAAGCTATCACTTTTGAAGCCCTTTTCTAAAATATGTGTATTTTCAGCATGGATATTCGTGGAAACAAATCAGCATAATTCAAGTTGACTTGCTTTTCAGTGGAAATAAGGAACAGATCTGTTCTTCGCATGTTTTTGTGGCCGTTAAGAGTTGTGTTTGGAGCTACTGTTCTTGTTTATTTGCCTAAATAAACGGATAATTAGACTCCTACCAAAACTTGGTGTCAGCTTGTATCTGTTGAGTTTTTTTCTGTAGAAATACGTGAAAAAATGTGTTCTATAAAATAACAAATGTTTTGCCGTGTGTTTTATATTTACATGTTAAAAATGAACAGAAGGGAAGTTCACTTCTTGAGAGAACTTTTGCTCAGTTCATGTTTTTATTTTTTTTATTTTTTTGAGTATCAGTTCAACAGTTTAATCTCCTGCCCAAGTTTTTCTTCTTTGCTTTTGTGTAGTATTTGTTCCACATTAAAAACTTGGATATGGATCTGTTGTTAACATAAACCTCTTCTCTCTCTCTCCTCCCCACAGATCTGAAATGATGGCTGCATGTCGGAGCTTGGCGCTGACCCATGGAGTAGTGCGATGAGTACATAAAAACAAGCAGACTTTAAGCCAGAAAGGATTCTTCTTCTGTGTGCTACGAGTTTTCTAACTGTGTGTGAGGACCTCTGGGAGTACAAGAATCCAGTCAAGGACTCGTCCAACCCCCACGCCCCACTTTAGCTGCAAGAAGATGAGAGTGGAAAAATAAAGCTCCGTGAAGTCGAGAGGAGCTTCATGAATTCAAAGGAATCTTAAACTGTAGGGATCAGGCAGCCATGTGCACGTTAGCTTCAACCGTCCAGCGTCTTGTGGCTGCCGCGCTGCTATTGGCTGGAAGCCTCCAATCAGTGAGTGACAGCGAGGATGATGTCACACCCCGCATCAGTTTCCCCCACAGTGAGTAAATATAATCACCTGTTGCATGTTTTGCTTCATTGCTGAAAGCAGTCATTTCATCCTTTTTTTTCTAAAGTAATATTTGCCACTAAGCCCCTCCTACAATTTGAGTTATCCAATCATAGCAAAGTGCTGTGTCCACACCTGGCAGGTGCTCATGATATCTCCTAAATTAAGAGTGGATTTAATGCCATTCCAAAATTTAAAGATAAAGAAACACAAAAAAATAAATGCACTGGAGAAACTAAACAGCTACTGGTCTAAAGGATGGCCCAGCACAGAAGATCAACATCATCAGGCCAGAATTCTGCGGTCTACACTCATCTCCAGGCCAGCGGTCACTCTTTCAGGGATGAAGATGTTCACATCCTGGTTGGAGAGGATCGATGGTTTGAGAGGAGTAAAGGAGGCCATCTTTGTGAAAAGAAACCGTACATCGTCAAACAGGGGTGGAGGCCTCCGTGTTCAACTGTCCCCCCTCTTACAATGCTGTTATTGATAGTATCACTCAGCCCTCTGTGAATACAAGCAGCCATCAGGGTACTAATGATCTGTCGTTAGGCTGATGGTCCTCCTTTTGCATGTGAAGAACTAGTTTTGGCTGTCACCAGCAAACTGCTTGATCCACTACGTAAGTTGCTGATTATTAAAAGTTCTTTGGTGATCCTGGTTATGAAGCAAATAAGTTCAAAAGATGGAGGGAAATTAATTTGTAAAATGACGATTATTAAATTATGACAATTATTATTATTTTTTTTTGTATTGAACGCTTTTTGAAGACAATTATTAAAGACAATAACTTAAATCTTTTGAAAAAAATGAGTCTGGGGAGAGAATAATTAAAAATATATTACCTGTTGAAGATAGCTCTTTTGAATAAGTGGAGCAAGTGTTTAAATTCCACCAGATTTCTGAGCTAGCTAGCAGCTAGTCCAAGTTGAGCCTAGACCAAATTGGTTTGGTGTCATCTAACAGCTTAAACTACTTCAAAAGCATTTATGCTAAAGCTAACATTTACATCAACCATTATAGTTTGTATTTTACAGATATTTACATCAAATTTTGTTTTGCAGCAGCTAGCTGTAGCACTTCCAGCAGGAATATCACATTTCTGCAGCAGTACCCATGAAATAAGAACCTGATAGTAGGTGAAAGAGTTGTAAAATAACATTTGCATTAACAGCTATGAAATATTTGAAAGTGGAGTTTGTTTTTAACTAGCTGAAATTCATTGGTCCAGTTCTTTACCTCCCAACTGAGATGATTCAAAACGCTATCCACAACAGGTAAGATATTTATCCATCATCCGGAACTTTGAACTAACTACACTATCTCTCAAGCGTTTTGTATATAAACACTTTAATTTGAACAGTTAATCTTCTTTTTCATTTTCCCATCAAAGCTTCCATATATCGTTCCCCAGAACAAACGTGTCACAAGAAGATCACGGTTATTATTATTTACTTAAGAATGCCAGACCACGTTCACCTGGAGTTGTTGTCTGTGTTCTTGTTTAATTGCCTACAAAAAGTCTAATATGTTTGTCATACCATGTGATTCCCCAGAGGAGCTAGGAGCAAGTAAAGTGCAGCTGTAACCGTTCTGGTAGCTTCTTCCTCCATTTTGCCTTCTGTTGACCTTTTGTTAATGTGCAACAATGTGTCCCACAAATAGAACTTAATGTCTCTCCTGCCTCTCAGCTGATTAAATGGAAAACCTTTTTGCACCTGACTTCATCATCGACCGTAATTACTCCGAACACTCCGCAGCTCTCATTATGCTAAATGTGGATTAGACTACAGCATGCTGCTGGTTTTCCAGTATTTGTTCAGCCGACGGTGGTTTGGTAATTGATTGATGCATTGTGGGAGCTTGTGACAGATGAGGAAGCTGTGTGAATGTGACTCGCAGGGGAAACTGTCTGATTTTCAGTAAACACTTTTGATTGTCTGTGGTCTCGTTGTAGAAACATTCAGCTATGAATGACCAACAGGTCGCTCCTCAAAATATTGTAATTTGGTTTTTGCATTGTTTCTTTGGGCCAGTCGCTGCATCGTTTCCACGGCTGTGAGAATACGTGTTTGCTCGTGCAAACAAGCTCAAGCTCGTCCTGCTAAAAAACACTTCCCGGTGCCTGTTTTCTCTGCTTCTCAGCCAACTCCGCGAGGCGTCGGATGCACCACCTTATTTGGCATCACCCAGAATCAAGAACGACCCCTCGCATACTTCTGTCTCAAATGGCTTAGCTGACAAAAACGTTGCACAACTGCTTTTCATTTGACAGTGTAGCGTTTCAGTTCTTGTTGAAATGTCCGTGGCACTATTTACAGCAAGTTTTGCATTAAAAATAATCCTGTCTGTTGAGTTTGCACCAGTGACGTAAAGCAGGTCACCCCTTTAACATATCCATTTTTGGTTTGTATTTGCTGTAGGAAAAAAAAGGATCTGGGCTGTTTTTAAAGAGGGGACCCCTGCCCCCTTTCCTTTATGTCCCCCTTGCCTCCTCACTTGCTCCCTCCTTCTCTCCTAATGAGCAGGCCAATCTCACATGTGTAGTGGTTTTTGTAGTTGCTGCAGTAATGAAGGGAGGGGGATGCCTGTCTGTTTTTCATTATGTCTTCTAGGCAGCAGGGTGGCCCAGTGCATTATGGGACTTGGAGCAGTAAGTGTTTGTTAAATGGGAAAGCAGCGTGTATCAGTGTTAGGCATCAGAGCTGTCTCCAGCAGCATGTCGCTGTCGTCCTCCAGAGTTTGACTGAGGAGACGGATGCTTTCTGCTGTTAATCCAGTCGTGGCTTTTCTAAAAACAACAACTTTGGCTGTTGTTTAACAATATCTATCTATACAGGCAAATACATGACCGCACGCCAATCATGGCTGCAGTACCCTTCAGCTCTTGCAGCCTGCCTGATCACAGGTTAATGGCCCCCCTCTGAGTCGAAACTGTGTGGATGGTGTGTGTGTTCGCCGTACACAGTGTCCTTTCTCTTTAACGTTAGGTTAATGTTTGCTGAATATTGTACTCTTTCTCTCATGCATGCTAATCCACTGACCTTGGCAGTGTGTGGATCACAGTTTAGCATCGGGGTGGGGGGGCGGTGGTGGCAGGAACGGTAAAGTTGGCCCGGGTCAGATAAAATACTCCTGGGGTTTTAGCCACGCTTCAGTGCCCACCTAAAGCCAAGCGAGGACACGCCCACTGATCCTGAAAGAAAGCGTCCTGTGGCTTCCAGCAGAGGTGGCACTCACAAGTGCCTGCGTGTAAAACCAGAACAGGCCTGACAAAAGCGAATAATTACAGCTCATCAGCTCCATTTGTTTCAGACATTTTAATGACTTTGTTGCTCGCACGCTTCAGGGAGTGTACAGAAACGTTCAGTCTGCACAGATTTCCATCAGCGGCCTTTTGATTTGAAGAAAACTGCGAGCAGCGAGGAGTCTTTGTGCGGCTGTTAATTGAGATGGACAGAGAGGAATGTGAGGTGGAAGAGTGGTGTTGGGTGATTTTTGGTGTTGGGTGATTTTTGGATTGCTGAAGATTAAAATCTTCTTCACCTTATGACTGCTGAAGGTCGCAGCAAGGCTCGCTAGTTTTATCATTGCTGTAACAGAAACCCAGCACACATTATAGCTCGACTTTACCACAATTGGTTTCCAAGCTTTTGTGTTTTAAAGCTTGGGTTTGATTTGTGCGGTGCTCGATGTATGTGGTTGGCTGAGACAGTCAAACAAACGTCTTTTGTCTGACTTCTGTGTCCACATGGCTGTCAAGAAAGCATTGTTTCCACTTCACTTAACAAAAAGCGTGAAGGGAAAATACAGCATTTATTCCAGAACGCTTTTATTTCTCCTCTCTGAGGGAACACCGTCTTCATTTGGCTCGTTGCTTGACACAAACATCAAGCACACAATCGACTTCTGTCAGCTTGAACGCCATAAAAGGACGTCTTTTGATTAAAAATACAGCGCTAATGGTTGTTTTCACTACAAATTTCTACAGTAAACCTTTCTGTGGTCACGGTTCCATTATTTCTTTCATCCTTTCTTTTGTCCTGCTTCAGTAGCTGAAATGTTGTGAATTTATTTGTCGTGTTTGAAGAGAGGAAAAGCTAAAGGTGCATTAAAATCTGAACAACGAGTTCTGTAAGAATATAACTACCGGTACTGTGCATGATTCTGAGCATCTTTGTCGCGTTATAAAAATCAAAGTTTGAGTTTTTCAGAAAACTCTTCGATTTTCAAAAACGGAGCGAGTAACAGCGGGAACCTCATGCATCTTTTATTAGAAGACAGAACTTTCCTGATTCAGTTCCAGTATGTTAATATGCTCCACATGTCCCCTGGTCCTACTGGAGCACACATGTGCAAAACAACACGGTCGTTGGGGGGGGGGGGGGGGTCGTCATTAGGCCTTGCTCACAATAGGCTTGACAGGAGGATTACATTAAATTATCGCCTGCCTTTGCTTTTTCCAACCATGGGCATTAATGTTTTTACTCATGGCTGTTAGGCTGTTAGCAAAAAAGCTTCTTATCCCCTGGATGGAATTAACCCCCTTGCACATGACCACTGCAGCGCTCCGGCATCATATCTACAGGAAATAAATCTGATAGTAAAACTGCAAGAATAAAAGCCTTAAGTGAAAAGCTGTGTGCGTGTGCGTGTGCGTGTGCGTGTGTGTGTGTGTGAAAAGACAAACCAAAGAGTATAAACCAGCGTGTTTGACTCTTTTCTTCCATCCCGCCTGCTCTCCTCTTTGAGAGCCTCTCCAGAGATGCACTTGTATACATGAAAACGAGGTAAAGGACCGTGTTTGCATGTTGTGGCAGCACTTTACAGACCTTCAGCACACGCCGGTCCAGAGTGAGGGCTCTTCATAAACTGCAAGCTGCTCCACTGGTGCCCTGAAAATCGACAAGTGTGCAGAGTCGAAGACAAATGGGTCGACTTGTGCGGTGCTTTGAAGGGAGTCTAGTTGTAGAGAAACCATCTGTAAAAAC